TGGTTTGCAACAGTCCTTAAGCCATCTTCAAAACCGAGGAGCCGTGGGCAAGTACAAATCACCTAAATCCCATCTGCGGTGTTTTCTATGCACAGTCCTCTGCAGAATGAAAGAGGCACGGCGGCTCTCAGAGACTTCAATCGCACCATCTAGGAGGGCAGATAAATGCCTCTAAAATTCCCTTTCATTTTATGAACAGAGACTTCCTCAGTTAAGAGACCTTTCCATCTTTCTACTTCCCTCCTTTTCAAAGGGCTGAATTTTAATGCAAATCTAATTACTCACTCGATCAGGGCAGGCAGATGCTATGCAGATCCCTCCGTTCCCTGCTACCACATGTCAGTGCTGACCTGAAACACCCCTCCTTCCCAGTCATGGGCCTCCAACAGCGAAAGAGTCAGGAGACGCCAGTGCTGCACACCGTGCTGGGTGGATGCAGCAGCACCGCAAACACAAAACGGGGGTGGGGGTGGGGCACACGGAGACCACAGGTTTAAGGCATGGTGGGCCCCTTCTTTTTACTTTTTACTTAAAACTCAACCCAACCGTTAACCCTCCACATGCCCAAGCAACAGTGTCAGCTCTGGGGAGAGCTGGCCTGATTTTAATGATGTCTAGCACCATCTAGTGGTTACTGATTTTAAGTGACACGAGGCTTTTTCAGAAGCTGTTAACAGGGTACTTTGCCAGAAATCAGGAATGGAAAATAAACTGCATGAAATCTAAATCACTTATATTTCTCCTGCCTAAAATAACTCAAACTCAGAAACTTCTACTGGCAGAACAAAACTACACTTGCATGATGTGGGGCAATATTTTACCAACTGCCCGCTCATATTTGACAGGCAGAAAAGAATACAATAACACCAATTCCAAGCTATTGGCTTTAGAATTGTGGTTTTAACTGATTCTCCTAAAATCAAGAATCTGGTAAAATAAATATTATAAATATAAATGATACATGAAACATTTGAAATTTCTTTTAATATTTGAAACTTTCTCAATTGAAACGTTAAATTTATTTTCATGTCTCAAACATGATCTTCAAATTTTTAAAATCTTTTGACATTTTAAAAAATTTAGAAAACAATTTAATTTATTGGTCATTCAATCTGTGAATGTAAATTAGCTGAAACACCATGTGCAATCCTTAACATTCTTCCAATCACTGAGAAACACAAAATTCAAAATATATAACTTTG